TTTTTTTTTCCAAATTTTATACTGGTTTATCTACAAAGTTTGGCCCCACATCAGATCCCTCCCACTTCTCCAACCCATCCCTCTCCACCCATCAAACCATGTGACCCCATGATTACCCCTCCACATCTCTACCACCTTTTGAAATTATCTGTTCAACTTTTTTACTTTATCATTTCTCCCATTCAATTTAGCCACTCTACATTCAAGGGCAATTTTTAAAGTCTTTTCTACATATATTTTGGTTTTTCTCCTCCTTTTCTGTCTTTTAAATAATCTTTTCTTTCTTCATGAATGACATCCTTCTATAACTCTTTAGATCTTTGTTCAATAGTGTTAAGTGTAATTTTGAGATGGTCTCTAAATTCAGGTGGTACTTAATCAAGCTTGTTCTTTGGGTCATACGTTGTTGTTGTTGTGTATCATCAAATCAGAACTGATCAATAGCTGACCCTCCAGTGGCAGTAATTGCGTGGGAGAAGATTGTCCATTCTTATCCTATGGAACAACTGTCAAGTTTGAACCATGTGCCTTCAAGATTGTAACATAGATTCTTAAATTTTTCCCCCCCAGCTTTAATTTAAATTGATAGTTTCTTCTATAGTCAACTTCTGGCCTTGTTCTGACTGATAATATTGAACATCTCCATAGACTTTCCTGATATGCTTGATTTAATTTCTATGCATTCCTTCTTGTGAGGTCCACATTTATAGCAGCCATTTATGATGCTTTGAAAATGTATTTGTAATAATTAAGTTGCTCTTGAAAATTTTCCCCATGCAATTCCTAGCATTCTTTCTATCACCAACACCATATTCTAACTATGAAACCTTATTTTTCCCCCTTAACTTTCATATCCACACACTAACAATTATCAGCACATTTATTGTATTTCAAACTGCAGAAGTTTGAAATAATTTCTTCTTTTTTGGCATTAATGGTTAGTGGATAAATCTGAATACTAGTATTAAATGGTTAGTGCATAAATTTGTATATTAGTAGCATTTCTTGTAGGTATTGGGATGGTATCCCATTACAGATGGCAATATTGGCATTTGAGGATAGAGTCTGAATTATTCTTTTTGAAAATGAATGGGAAACTATTCCTCTTCAAATTCTCATTCCCAGTATAGTAGACACTAATCCTCTTACTTAAAGTGGTCAAAACAAGTCTGTTTTAGCTCACTAATGTCTCAGTTATTGATCTTTATGCATCTCATTTATCCATTATTTTTAAATTTTTATTACTTTTCTTGTGTGTACCATCAAATCAGATCTGACTGGCACAGGAGGAGATTGCCCCGCCTTCTCCAGCACAGCATTCTGGTGGATTCAAACAGCGTACCTCTGGGATTGCAGTGCAGCTTCTTGCCACTAGGCCACCAGAGATCCCTTGCATCTCATTTCATTTTTGATGATTTCTCAATTTCACTAGATTCATAATGGCAAGACTTCCACATTCTGTGTATTTAAAGAAGTTTGTAGTTTTCTTTTCATTTTGAGCCATTCTACATCAACAAATGAAAGCTCATCAGCAAATTAAAGTCCTCAAAGTGTTCCTCCACACATATCATGAAGGTAAACTCTGTTTTGATGAAGCAGCAATTCACCAGTCATTTTCTGCATGTCTTCAACATGAGGAGTTTATCTTCTGGCACCATATTAGGCAATGTTCTGTTGCAACTCATAAGGTTTTCACTTGCCAGTATTTTTAGAACTAGATCATTAGGTCTCAGTCTGAAATCTTAATGGATGCTTGTCCATCATGAATGACCTGCTAAAATTGGAAATATTGTGGCATAGCTTTCAGCAACATGTAAGTCACCACAGTATGACAAAATGACAGATGAATGATGGTTTTTGCAGGTAGATTTATCTATACCTAACAGTTTAGAATGGAATATGTCAAACTATTTTGGAATGGCAAGCACCTTCTTTGTGAGACTTTATGATGATTATCTGGTCTTTTAGAATGAATAGAAATATTTTTGGTGACTATGTTTTGCTTGCATTGAGTCTTGCTACTAAGTACTCCACTCTGTTGCTATCAAACTCACCAGGCTGCATAATAGCAAAGGATGAAGCTGCAACAGAATTCCAAAGGTGATAAGAAACCTCTTTCTAAAAGAACAAGCCTCTAAAAGAATAATTATTACTTTACTGCTAGCACAATAACACTAGGTAGATTGTAAATTATATAAATACATGATAATGGCTTACTAGAATATAAAAATCTGGCAAAAATTCATTTTCTAAATATATGCAGTAATTCCTTGCCATATTACAAAATCCTAACACATCTCTTTACCATGAGATAATATATAATCTAATGAAATAAATTCCCCTCCATCTAAGTGTGCTGCTCATCCTGGAATCCATTTATACCTTTAAAGACTAGACAGTTCAAGCGCGAACAAAATTGTTATTGTCCCTGGGAAAATGAATGTGCTTTGAGATTTTATTAAACTAGAAGCCATTAAAATAAGCCAGTGAAGGGAGATGCCAATTAAATTGTGACTTTTCACATTGAGATTCATTTTTTTCATTTCACATGTAAATGTGGACTTCAGCAAAATTAAAAAGAGGGGAAATTAATTGAAAAAGCGACACTTTTTGTGAAACTTGCAAGGAGTGCTTTAAAATAAGTTTGCACAGTAAATTACAGTGGAAGGAAGGGTAAACATTTCACAAACATTTCAATGTTTAGTCTAACTTATAGTTTCTGATACTTCAAAGGCATGTTCAAAGGCCACTGCTCTGAGTGTCACTTCATTCCACAGTATGAAGGAGCAAAGCTTACCTGGTCCAACTGTCAAGGGGGAGCCTGTTCGGGGAGGGGTGGCTGGTATATTTTTAGGAGGCAGTGGTGGAGGTGCTGCAATGAGAAGGCAAATCCAGAATTACTGTCACTTTTCCCTCTAAATGACATTATACACTTTAGAAAAGTAGGATTAAGCTTTAATTCAGGGGCCTGCTGTTGGGAGCAGACTAGCCTTTAACAGTCTAGACTTTTTAAGCTCAAAGTCAAAGAACTAAAGCAAAATCCATTCAGATCCTTTCATAGATTATTGATAACCATTAATTGTCATAAGAACACCAAGTAGTAACAATAATAGTAACATTTTATTAATGCATTCAATAAATAACTCATTTGATAGACCTTAAGTACCAACTAAGTCCTATGTCCTATCGTGTGATATGGGATGAATAAAATAGCCTCTTGTTACAAAGAATTCACAGCTGACTAAGGAACATCACATAAGAAACTGGATCAGACTCATTGCTATCAAGTTGGTTTCGTCTCACAGCCACCCTTCATTGTGTTTCCAAGGCTGTAAATCACATAGGAGACGTTTGTCCACTGTTTTCCCTCAAAGCCACTGGTGGATTCTATCTAAGCCCAGGGAAGCTCAGCTTTTACGTTGGCAGTGCAGATCCCTTTGGACTATGCCCCTGGAGCTCTCTATCAAAAAGAGGCAATTACAAAGCATGATATAATAAAGGAAGTAGCAGGTTGGGTTAGAAAAACTGTCACTTTAAAGGAAATTTTAATTTATTCAGTTGATGACAACTTGGATCGAATTTGGGAGAATTTCTCTAAGTCATATTATGTGAATTTCATCATATTTTTGAAAGGCTGAAGTGAAATGATTTGGGTCAAGGAACAGCAAGTAGATTCCTTCAGTAAAAATCACAACCAAACACATTTCTGAGGTAGAAAAATCCCTCACTTTACAGTTCCACTCAAACATTTACCTTTCTGAATTGGGTTTGTCACTTTGTAGGCAAAGTTAGGAATTCTTTTGTGGAAAAGTTATTTCAACAGATGGTAATAGTTATGAACCTGAACATTGTCCAACATTTCATAAACTAACAGTCTCTTAATGGTAATGCTAATTGAAAAGCAGATTCACGTTCACACAGAGGCATCTCAGAAGAAAGACCTAGGCAAGAAATAAATAAGGAACGGAATACCTACAGGGCGTAGTTCTACTCTGACACACATGGGGTCACCATGAGTGATTGCTTGTTGGCAATTCTTTTTCAAAAATCTAAAAGCAACAGGGGAGCTCTAGTGGAGTAATCTGTAGGGAGCGGTACTGCTAACTTAAGATCATGGTTCTTTGAAGTTTAAATCCATCAATGGCTCCATGGGAGAAAAGATGGCCTTGGAAACCCAATGGAGGAGCAGCTGTAAGTTAGTTAAATGCAAAGTGAGTAAGAAGGAGACACAGCAAAAAAGGATACACAACTCTTCCTAGTGCTTTCTAACTATGTTCATTAGAAAAAGCCCCTTTTTTCGTATTATTAGGTATTACTGTCATGACAGGAGTCCAGAATGTAGGCTGCATAGTGGAGTAGACTAGAAGGGAGGGATTGCATAACAATGAAATAATTTTTCTTTTACTTTTCAAAGAGAAGAGTGAACTGGGGGAAGGAATGGTCAGAGAGAAAAGTGCAGCAATGAAATCCTACTACACTGCTGTAGTGGTAAAGGCAGCATGGTACTGGTACAATGACAGACACATAGAATGGAATAGAATTGAGAATCCGGAGATCGGCCCATATATCTAT